TCTCAGCACACTCGGATCACTGTGACCTCTTCGACCCTATGTCCAACAAGCTCTTAGCACGCTTCACACTCAACAGTAGCAAGCTCTACACGCTGCGTTCACCTGCACCTCTCGCCGCCCTCTCCCAAGCGCAAGCTGCTAGCACCACTCCGTGTTCGTGTCGCAGATTCGCCAACCCAACCATCCTCTACCACCATCGCTTGGGTCACCCCAACTTCCGTACACTTGCCGACATCGCTTCCAAGAAACTTCTTCTTGGCCTCCCGTCGGCGCTTCCTCCACCAACAGACTCACCTGCACCCACCTGCCTGGACTGCACCAAGAGCAAGCTCAGGCAGCAGCCGCACCCTTCCTCCCCATCCGTCGTAGCTGCTCCACTGGACCTAGTGCACATGGATGTCTGGGGCCCAGCTCCAGTCGCCCTCTTCCAGATATGCCCTCTTCCATGCGGCACTCCTTTACAATCTTTATTCGCATCCCCACCGGCCCGACACCACACCTACCGCTCTCTGGCTTGGGGTCACGCCTTCCGCCCGCTCTCTACGCGTCTGGGGGTGTACCGCGTATGTGTTGCTAAGCCCCCACACGCGCAGGAAGCAAGGTGGCAATCTTGGTCCCAAAACCCAGACCTGCATGTACCTGGGGCACAACTCCGACTCCCCAGACTACTTATTCCTCAACCCAATCACCAGACAGCTGATTCGCAGCCGTGATGCCGTCTTCGATGAGACACGCCCATTCCACTCTGCGACCACGGGCGAGCCTCCTCCACCTCCCCCGACGCTTGTTTGGGCAGACTTCGATGCCCCACCTCCGGCCGCTGCCCCTTCTCCGGGGCCTTCTCCGTCCGGCGTGTCTCATCCGGCCTCCCCAATATCCTCCGCAGCGGCACCTCCTCCTGCTCCGCCTTCCCCGCGCGTCGAGCCCGGCTCACCAGTCTCCTATCGGAGGCGCCCAGTCCCTCCGGTCCCACCGCAGCCGCCTTCGTCTCCGATCTCTAGTCGCACTCGTTCCAAGGGACCGGCTCCGCCTCTCGCCTGGGGACCAGCCACCTTCTCCATCCGGTGTTCGGTCACCCCGCCTCCTCGTGCCGGGGGTAATGTCCCCTCCATCCGTATTCCCCCCCGTGCACTTCTGGAGGACAGGCATGAGGAGCTGTTTGACCTTCACGCGGTCTGCCAAATTCTCTCTCACATCTTCCCGGACATTACTGACTGCCCTTCCCTCAACTTCACCGAGAACCCGACCATTCCGACTCCTCGCACAAAAGAGGAAGCTCTCTCGGGGCCTTATAAGAAGGAGTGGAAGGCAGCAATGGATGTGGAGAACGAGGCGTTCATTCGCAACAACAGCTTTGACGATGTTCTCCCTTCCGGTGTCAACATCGTCAGCGAAAAATGGATCTTCCGAGTCAAACAACTCCCAAGTGAAGCTCCAGTGTTCAAGGCACGATACGTGGCGAAGGGTTTCACCCAGAAGGAGTATCTCGACTTCTTCGAAACATTCTCGCCCACGGCCAAGCTCCCGGCTGTGCGCGCTCTTCCTAATATAGCCGCTCGCGGCAACTTCGAGATCAAGTCCATGGATGCCTCCTCCGCCTTTCTCCAAGGCCAGCTCAAGGAGGATGTTCACATGGAACGCCCACCGGGGTTTCCTGGCACTTACCCTGCCAACACAGTGTGGAAGCTGAAGCGCCCAGTGTATGGCCTCAAGCAGGCTCCTTGTGAGTGGCACAACAAGGTGAAGGAAGTCCTCCTCGCACTTGACTTCCATCCCTCTGCCTCAGATTCCAGTCTCTTCGTTCGTCACTCCTCCGAGCCCTTCTACATCCTCGTCTACGTCGACGACTTCATTCTAGCCGCCAGAGATCCAGCCGACATGGCAGCTGTCCTGTCTGCTCTCAGCTCCGCCCTTCTCATGAAGGATCTTGGTGACCTCAAGAACTACCAAGGGATGGAGATCACTCGTAACCGCCAGGCTTGCACGATCACGCTCTCCCAGGAGTCCTACATCGACAACCTTCTCAAGCGGTTCGACATGGACTCCAGTAACTCTGTCTCCACTCCACTTTCACTACAGCATCAGCTCACGGCCCCTCCAGTTCCTTCTCCTGACGCCTGCAAGGACCCGTACCCTGAGCTAGTCGGTTCACTCATGTATGCAATGATGTGCACTCGACCAGACTTGGCTTACCCGGTTAGTGTCCTCTCTCGGTACGTCTCCGGACGCTACACTGCCTCGCATTGGTCTGCAGCCAAGAGGGTCCTCCGCTATCTACAAGCCACCAAGTCTCACATCCTCACTCTTGGTGGTACCTCTCCAATCAAGCTCGAGGGATACACAGACTCCTCATGGGCCGATGACCAGTCTGACAGACGCTCCTCCCAAGGGTACTGCTTCACCCTTGGTAGCGGAGTCATCAGCTGGCACTCCACTCGGTCCTCTGCAGTCTCCCTGTCGTCCTGCGAGGCCGAGCTCTACGCGGGCACAATGGCTGCTCAAGAGGCACGCTGGCTCTTCTTTCTCCTCGCTGAGTTAGGCTATCCCCAGCAGTCGCCCACCCTGTGGTGTGACAACCAGAGTGCCATTCACCTCACCAAGGATCCTGTGTTCCACTCTCGCACCAAGCACATCGAACTTCGTCATTTCTTCATCCGAGATCTTGTTCAGAGTGACCAGCTGACGGTACGGTACATCGCCTCAGATTGCAACCTTGCCGACCTCTTTACCAAGGCTCTCGGCAAGGCTGACCACCATCGCCTTCTTCGTTCAATGGGGCTATGTGCTCCTTGACCGGGTTTGCAGTCTATGGGGGTGTGTTAGAAATAGACTGCAAATACCACTTTTGTATTTGTACTTTTATATCCTAGTTTAGGTTATGAATGTTCTGGTGGGTTAGGGTGTACTCACAAATCCCAACCTCACCCAATTGTGATCCCCCCAATCTCCAATTACCCAATTGGAGATTCCGGAGATCCCAGTGGGGATTCCCTCCAATTCCCCCTTCATCCATTCACTCTCACCTTGCCATGTACTTATAGAGCATTGGGCTCCTTACCTAATCAATCATTTCAACTCTATCTCTTAGAAGCACAACCACCAATGGATCTAAGACATTCAAGGGGCTGCGAGGAGATCGTGTGCTATGGGATTTACACGAAAGCAGAGATGTCTTCAGATCCATGTGGCAGATCCCTGCGCTGATATGGGAATCAACAAAAAAGGAGATGGGAGCAGTAAAGGCGGGATTTGGAGTCCAGGGGGAGTGCAACGTAGTAAGTGCTGCAGGAGTGACAGTTTCTGCAAGGTCGGGGGAGACTGATTGGGAAACGGCACACAGGCATCTAGGGCATGTGGCTATGCCATTGCTGCAGCAACTGCATAAGGAAGAAGCAGTAAAGGGGCTGAAGCTTTCTGGGAAACCAAATGATACCAATCGCGAGACATGTCTGTTGAGCAAGTTCACACCGTTCCCCTTTCACGGCGTAGCTGGGAAAAGCAAGAGAGCAGTGGAAATGGTACACATGGACCTGGTAGGACCGTTTCCAGTTCGAGGAAGTAAGGGGAAAAGGTAATTCCTAACAATAATTTATGACTGGAGTCGGCTGATATGGCATACCCGTTGAAGCAGAAAGATCATGCGGCCTCAACAATACGAGATGACTGGCTGCCATTCGTCGAGCGACAATCCGGGCGCCCGAGCAAGAGGATCAGAACTGACTGAGGTGGAGGGTTTTTGGGAGAAGATCTGACTGCATGGCTCAAGAAACAAGGCATTGAGCATGAGCCATGCTACAGTGGCAAGGAACCGCGTACTCACGAAGAAGGCTGATGATGTGTGGATGCCGCTGGAGAGGTGGCTTGGAAAGAAACCTCTAGTGGACATGCTCAGAGTTTTTGGATGCATGGCAGTGGCACATGTCCCTAAACCATACAGGACAAACCTTGGAGAATCTGCACTATGGTGTGTGCACCTTGGGCTTACAGCAGAGAGCAAGGGGTGGCTACTCTGGGAGCCCTCAAGGAATGTGCGATTTGATAGCCGGGATGTCAAATTTATAGATAACTTTATGTATGGCAAGTGGGACAAGCAGCCGGAGGCAAGGGTATCCCAGCAGCTGGAAGAAATCACTATGCACTTCGACTTGCCCGAACCTGATGACAGCGAAGTCACTCTGCCAGCGGCAAGCGGTACTGAAGAAAGAAGCAATGAAGATATTGCAGCTGATGCTGAAGTGAAGGAACCGGGGCAGCAGCAGCAAGAGGCTTCCAAAGCACCAAGTCTGCCAAAGCGAAGGAAGCAGACTGGTGGGGGGACGAAGGATTGGGTGAAGGTGAAAAAATGTGTAAACCCAACTATCTAACCTGCTCATACCAGAATGGCAATGAGAAATCTGATGAGCTCTACAAGTGGAGGAGCCACAACTGAGCAGCAGCAACAGGCTCAAGACGAAGATGCAGTGCTATTCTTGGGTGATGACTAAGAGTCAGATGACGAGGAGCATGCATACTGCTTTTACGCACCAATACAACATCCGAGCATGGATCATGCACTAGTCGGGCCTCAACGGTGGAAATGTTTGGTTTCAAGAGATGCGGAGTACTACAGTCAGATGGAGAATCACACATGGGTTTTAATGTACTTGCCCCCCTGAAATTTATTGCTGGTGTGTGATTGGCTGACGCCCAAAATGATTTGGCGAAACTTGTGCGACACTAGTGACGACGGATGTGCCATTTTCCCCCCTGGGACCCACCTCGTTTTTTACGTTGGGCCCAGGTTCGCCCCTTGGTTCGGATTGCGCTTGCGGGCCAAAATTGGGGGATGGGTCGGAAAAGAAATGGAGGGGCGGGCGAATCAAGATTGCGTCCAGCAGTAAATATCATGTGGCAAATTTGGTGGAGGGCCAATGGATGCCTTGGCACACACATCCTCCAACTCAGAAAGAAAGTTCGGGACGAATCGGCGCCCTTGTTGGAACGAGGTTTAAGCTAAGAAGCTAGGTAGTAGAGAAAATGTTGAGAGAAAAGAGACGACTGAGAGAGAGAGAGAGAGAGAGAGAGAGAGAGAGAGAGAGAGAGAGAGAGAGAGAGAGAGAGAGAGAGAGAGAGAGAGAGAGAGAGAGAGAGAGAGAGAGAGAGAGGTACAAGATGTGGGTTGTACCCTCGACAGTAGGATCCAGTCATTTGTATAACACCTACCAAGCCTACACAAATATAAATATAAGATATATAAATTGACAGCCCTCACTTCTCTTCCAGCACAAATTGGGAGAAAAACTTGGGGAAGGGCCAGTCAGCAACACTCACACAGCTCTCCCAGCACGCATCGAGCGCTGATTTTGGCTAAGGGCTGGTCAGCGCCCTCTCACAACCCCCAGTATGAAGGCCTCTGAAGTCAGGGCAAAAAGACCTGAAAGCCTGTATATCAGGGTGTTTTCTAGGGCATACCCTGATTTTCCAGGTTTTGATATTTCTCAAGCATGAAATTTATCTGTTCCCATTTTCTAAGGCCTGAAAAATAGTATGTTCCTGTTTTACCGAGCCTGACGAATCAGCCTTACCCATCAGCCTTACCCAAAATTCGCCCTGAAACTGAATCTTATCTGCCAAGGCGAGCTAGAGCACGTGTGAGGGGGGTGACTGGTCCTTGACCAGAATCACGCAGGTTCGAGGCGAGCTAGAGCAGGTGCAAGGGGCGTGATTGGTCCTTGATCAAAAATCACGCAAGTTCGAGGCGAGCCGGAGCAGGTGTAAGGGGTGTGATTGGTCCTTGACCAGAATCACGGAACTTCGAGGCGAGCTAGAACAGGTGTGAGGGGCGTGACTGGTCCTTGACCAGAATCACGCAAGTTTGAGGCGAGCTGGAGCAGGTGTGAGGGGGTTGATTGCTAAAATCCTGCATGAATCCGAAGAGAAGAATTAGACGCAGTAAAGTCCGTTCCGGCCTAAGAATCAGAAACTACGAAAATGTAGGCCTGATTAGTCAGACTAAACAAAACAATTGGCCTGAAAAAAACATGCCACACCCAAAACCCGACCCTGAAAAACATGGGTTCTCACATGTGTAACCCTGACCACTCAGCCTCCCTAAAACCAATCTGAGGGCCTGCCCAGTATGCATCGAGTGCTGTTTCTGGCTAAGGGCCAGCCAACGCTCTCACGCAGCCCCAGTACGCATCGAGCGCTGATTTTGTCTAAGGTGCATTCAGCGCTCTCACACAGCCCCCAGAACGCATCGAGCGCTGATTTGGCGAAGGACCATTCAGCGCCTTTACACAGCCCCCAGCATGCACGGAACACTGATTTTGGCAAAGGACCAGCAATTTGATTTGTGTTTCTGGATACTTGCCTTGCTGCCCTGACTCATCAGAGCCAGAGAGCCGCGAGCCCTGATTTTGAAAGGGTAAAATATTTGCTACACTTTTTGAATCAGGGTTACAAAACCTTAAACCCTGAAAAATCTGCCTAAGCTCGAATTCCTACATTGTTGATCCTGATCAATAACGATTTTTTTATCCTGGCGATTTACAGCTTGCTGGTCAACAACTTCAACACATCGAGCAAACAGTCACACGCAGTTTGATGTGCGGCAACTTCGCGTGATCACATGGTGCACAAAAACACTCCCACCCACTGTATTCGAGTGCTGCCCATCTTTGCTGTGCCCGTCACACTCTTTTTTTTCCAAGTCCCTCCTGCGCGTCATCCACATTACGATCGGTGTCGCATGCTGTCGCGCGGGCGCCACACGTCACTTTGGCTATTTCTACTTGTGCTTTACTCGGGCGTGCTTGTATCAATGTGAGAAATGAATGACAAGAATGAGAGATACAATGTGATTTTGTGCACAAGGGTTGTACTCTCTAAGAGAATGCACCTATCTAGCCTATAAGACATATATATATATATATATATGTTTTGACACACCCCCTACGCTAGATGAGGGGTGTAAGAAATAGAACTGAAATGATTAATTAGGTAAGGAGCCCAAGGCTCTAGAAGTACATGGCAAGGTGAGGAAGAATGGATGAAGGGGGGAATCAGAGGGAATCCCCATTGGGATCTCCGGAATCTCCAATTGGGTAATTGGAGATTGGGGGGATCACAATTGGGTGAGGTTGGGATTTGTGAGTACACCCCAACACACTAGAACACTCATAACCTAAACTACGAAATACAAAATTGGGATTTGCAGTCTATTTCTAACACACCCCCATAGACTGCAAACCCGGTCAAGGAGCACATAGCCCCATGGAACGGAGAAGGCGATGGTGGTCAGCCTTGCCGAGAGCCTTGGTAAAGAGGTCGGCGAGGTTGCAATCTGAGGCGATGTACCGTACCGTCAGCTGGTCACTCTGAACAAGATCTCGGATGAAGAAATGACGAAGTTCGATGTGCTTGGTGCGAGAGTGGAACACAGGATCCTTGGTGAGGTGGATGGCGCTCTGGTTGTCACACCACAGGATAGGCAACTGATGGGAGTAGCCTAACTCAGCAAGGAGAAAGGAGAGTCAGCGTGCCTCTTGAGCAGCCATTGTGCCCGCGTAGAGCTCGGCCTCGCAGGACGACAGGGAGACTGCAGAGGACCGAGTGGAGTGCCAGCTGATGACTCCGCTACCAAGGGTGAAGCGGTACCCTTGGGAGGAGCGTCTGTCAGTCTGGTCATCGGCCCATGAGGAGTCTGTGTATCCCTCAAGCTTGACTGGAGAGGTACCACCAAGAGTGAGGATGTGAGACTTGGTGGCTTGTAGATAGCGGAGGACCCTCTTGGCTGCAGACCAATGCGAGGCAGTGTAGCGTCGGGGGGAGACGTACCGAGAGAGGACACTGACCGGGTAAGCCAAGTCTGGTCGAGTGCACATCATGGCATACATGAGTGAACCGACTAGCTCAGGGTACGGGTCCTTGCAGGCGTCAGGAGAAGGAATCTGAGGGGCCGTGAGCTGATGCTGTAGTGGGAGTGGAATGGAGACAGAGTTACTAGAGTCCATGTCGAAACGCTTGGAGAAGGTTGTCGATGTAGGACTCCTGGGAGAGCGTGATCGTGCAAGCCTGGCGGTTACGAGTGATCTCCATCCCTTGGTAGTTCTTGAGGTCACCAAGATCCTTCATGAGAAGGGCGGAGCTGAGAGCAGACTGGACAGCTGCCATGTCGGCTGGATCTCTGGCGGCTAGAATGAAGTCATCAACGTAGACGAGGATGTAGAAAGGCTCAGAGGAGTGACGAATAAAGAGACTGGAATCTGAGGCAGAGGGATGGAAGTCAAGTGCGAGGAGGACTTCCTTCACCTTGTTGTGCCACTCACGAGGAGCCTGCTTGAGGCCATACACTGGGCGCTTCAGCTTCCACACTGTGTTGGCAGGGTAAATGCCAGGAAACCCTGGTGGGCGTTCCATGTGAACATCCTCCTTGAGCTGGCCTTGGAGAAAGGCGGAGGAGACGTCCATGGACTTGATCTCGAAGTTGCCGCGAGCGGCTATATTAAGAAGAGCGCGCACAGTCGGGAGCTTGGCCGTGGGCGAGAATGTTTCGAAGAAGTCGAGATACTCCTTCTGGATGAAACCCTTCGCCACGTATTGTGCCTTGAACAGTGGAGCTTCGCCTGGGAGTTGTTTGACTCGGAAGATCCATTTTCCGCCGACAATGTTGATACCGGAAGGGGGAACGACATCGTCAAAGCTGTTGTTGCGAATGAACGCCTCATTCTTCACATCCATTGCTGCCTTCCACTCCTTCTTATAAGGCCCCGAGAGAGCTTCCTCTTTTGAGCGAGGAGTCGGAATGGTCGGGTTCTCGGTGAAGTTGAGGGAAGGGCAGTCAGTAATGTCTGGGAAGATGTGAGAGAGAAATTGGCAGACCGCGTGAAGGTCAAACAGCTCCTCATGCCTGTCCTCCAGAAGTGCACGGGGGGGAATACGGATGGAGGGGACATCACCCCCGGCAGGAGGAGGCGGGGTGACCGAACACCGGATGGAGAAGGCGGCTGGTCCCCAGGCGAGAGGCGGAGCCGGTCCCTTGGAACGAGTGCGACTAGAGACCGGAGACGAAGGCGGCTGCGGTGGGACCGGAGGGACAAGGCGCCTCTAGTAGGAGACTGGTGAGCCAGGCTCGACGCGTGGGGAGGGCGGAGTAGGAGGAGGTGCCGCTGAGGAGGATACCGGGAAGGCCGGGTGAGACACGCCGAACGGAGAAGGCCCGGGAGAAGGCCCCGGAGAAGGGACAGCGTTCGGAGGCGGGACATTGAAGTCTGCCCATACAAGCGTCGGGGGAAGTGGAGGAGGCTCGCCCGTGGTCGCAGAGTGGAAGGGGCGTGTCTCATCGAAGACGACATCACGGCTGCGAATCAGCTGTCTGGTGATGCGGTTGAGGAATAAGTAGTCTGGGGAGTCGGAGTTGTGCCCCAGGTACATGCAGGTCTGGGTTTTGGGACCAAGCTTGCCACCTTGCTTCCTGCGCATGTGGGGGCTGAGCAACACATACGCGGTACACCCCCAGACGCGTAGAGAGCGGGCGGAGGGCGTGGCCCCAAGCCAGAGAGTGGCAGGTGTGGTGTCGGGCCGGTGGGGATGCGGATAAAGATTGTAGAGGAGTGCCGCATGGAAGAGGGCATATCCCCAGAGTGACCGTGGTGCGTTGGCGTGACTGAGGAAGCAGAAAGAAATCTGAACCAGGATGTGGTTGCGGCTCTCTACAATGCCGTTCTGCTGCGCGCTTTCAGGGAGCGATCTGAACCAAGGTGTGGTTGCGGCTCGCTGCAATCCCTTGGGCCGCACAGAAGCTACTGAGTTTACCATTTCGAAATTCACCCCCGCCATGAGAATGGAGGCACCTCGAAGGAGTGCCGAACGTGACTTGAGCCTGGCGCACCCACGCCATGATGACAGCAGGTGCCTCCGCCTTGGTATGCAGGAGGTGCACAGAAACATACCGCGAGTGGTCATCGACTAGTGTAAGAATGTTCCAATGACCGCCTCGCGATTCAACTGGAGCTGGGCCCCAGACATCCATGTGCACTACGTCCAGCGGAGCAGCTGCGACGGATGGGGAGGAATGGTGCTGCACATAAGCAGGGGGAGCTACAGCAGCCTGCACGAATTCCTGCACTTGGACTTGATTGACTTTGCGAAGAGCACGATTCACCAACTAGCTTGGCGGCTTCGAGGCAATCCCATTAACGGCATACCACTCGTTATCCTTCTTCTTGAAGCAGTAGGCA